TGGCACTACTGCTGGCAATTGGATTACCCTTCCTCACAGAGCTGGTTCTATTTTCTTTTTCTTTCTTTCTCATACACACTATATTATGTATATAGCCTTTGTTCAACACTAAAGACTAACTTATCTGTGTGCAAATTAACGCAGGCCTAAAGCGTTGTGGCAAGAGTTGCCGGTTAAGATGGCTTAATTATTTGAGACCAGATATCAAACTTGGAAATTTTACACAAGAGGAAGACAACATTATATGCTCTCTCTATACTCAACTTGGAAGCAGGCTAATTCTTGCTCTTCAACTATTTTTCCCTTTAAATTCCCAATTTTAATAACATTTTAGTATTTAAGAGTGACCCCAAGTATTTTTATTTTTATTTTTTGAATTTGCAGATGGTCTGTTATAGCATCTAAGCTACCAGGAAGAACAGACAATGATGTAAAAAATCACTGGAACACCAAATTGAAGAAGTTACTAGCAACTAATGCAAACCCCACAAGGAACTTTGATGATAGCAAACAAGTTTTTCATTCCTCATCAATGGTACCAAAAGAGGAAGAAGAACAAGCAGCCTATTCTCCAATACAATTTCCATTTCCAAATTGGGAGTCTGCTGGAGTCAGTAGTCATATTCTCAATAATAACAAAAGCATGGTTCAACATGACCAAAAACAATTCCCTCTTCCAAGACTCAGTCAAGACTACTCCAAGATTTCGACTTCTCGAGAAGAATCAATGAGTTTTGGATCTTCATCAGTTGCAATGCATGAGAATGTTGATCTAGCTTGGTTTAATACATTTGAGGGGTTTCCAATTGATGATGAAATTATGGGTGCAGGCTTGTGGACTCATCAATCAGTTCTTGAAGATATTGATTTTCCAGTCACTTTCAGCTGATGAATATGTTGGTAACTACAATATTCAAAAAAAGATAGAGTTGACATTAGTCATTGGAATGTATAATTAAACATGAGGGATTAAGTGAAACACTAATGTAATCTCTCATTTAGTATTTTAGATGCTAACAATTATGTGGAGTTGATGCCAACTAGAAGGAAACATGAGAAGTGTACAGCATTGAAGAGAAGTGGGTGTTTCTGATAGTTTTTGGAAGTGAATTTCTACTATTTTGTGGAAACCAAAAATGAAAATCAAGTAGAGAAAAGAGGAAAAGAACGAATCTAGTTATTAGCGAGAGGATCGTGATGGCAAGAGCAGAAGCTACGAGTTCGGCAAAACCAGTGGCTTTGGTTTAAATTATGTATTTATCTTAAAAAATCATTGAATATGTACAAATTATTAATTTAGAACCAAGTAACTCAAAAGATTTTGTTTTCAAATATTTGTTTGTTTATAGATTTTAACTATGTTTTGGCATATTTTGAAAATAAATTGTTCAAATCCCAAAAAGAGCTCTACAGTATTTTCTGAAATTTTCTACTCACAAAACTTCAAATTTTTTTCAAGTAAAATGTATGTGCAATTTCTATCTTTCTAAAAAATTTTATCCCATTTTCAAAAACTCATTTTTTTCAAGTTCCAACCAAATTTATGTACAAACGCTAGCTTAGAATCCCGAACCCATAAGATTCAAATTCTAACTCCACCTCTGATCATATTGACTGTCTTGTGCTTAATTTTGCCATGCAAATGGAGGTGGTTAATTTGAACAATGCTCACAATCTTTCGTTTCCTTATTTTTTTAACACTACTAGTTTCAAACTCCAATCATACAATGGCAGTTAGCAATAAGTAACTCCTAAATCTTTTAACCGTTGCATAGAAAGTTTAATTAGCATCGTAATATCTCAAATATAAATAACCAAGTCCTGAAAATTCATTAAAGAGTATTTTATAACATATTTTTCATATTTCACGCAAAAGTAGCATGCTCTTTCCCACTTCAACTTGATATAGAATGTAAACTCATCTGCTGTCATTTACACATTTACTTTTGATCCTGCATGCATGTTACGAATTCAACATGAAGACTGGATGGAGAGTAGAGCCCGATGTATAATCCTCCACAATAAGAATACATCACATCTTTACACTGTCTCGTGGGAGGCAATGAGAACTGCGGAAAAAACAGCAGAGAAGGAAGCAGTCAAGGAAGTTCAAAAGCCAACCACACGAAATCAATCATAAAGACTGCAAACATTCCAGCTGCATCATTGCTTGAATTTGCATCTAAGAACATGAAATCCAGCGTAAATGCAAAACAGTCCATCGATCGTGGACTTTACTGTCATTTAAAATGTAAACAAGTCTGTTGAAACAAAGCACATCTGCATGACCAAGACAATATCTGTATCCAGTTGGCATCTTGAAACAGTAACGAAAAGAAATAGGCCAAAATACAGGACCATTGTTTGCTGGTTAAATTTCAGAGAGATTCTTTGTATTCTATGATCTGTTTATGGTGGCACTAAAGGTTCCTTTTCCTGCTCTTAATTGGGTTAACAGAGGGGTTGAGAACGAAGGGAAATCTTTAGTTGGTTCTAAAGAGTCGAGAATGGAATCACGTTAGCAAACCGATAAACAAATAGGAAGGGGACTGATTGCATCCTACACACTTACCTGGATATCCATATCCAGACAGGGGACATGAAAGTGAGGACATGAGTCTGAACAATTTCCTTTCGATTAAACCAGTTTGAATTGGCAGACATTCATATTATGCTAAGCCCATTCTGAACATTCCTTTGCCTTAACTGACGTCATTCAAGTTAGTAATGTAAAAGCCATATCAAATTGATCGATCAATAATTGACGTAAAGGTNCCCCCCCCCCCTCCCCTCCAAACCCCCTAAAAGTCAACCCCCAACTTAGGGACTATGGCTACTGCAGGCACCACAACGGAAACAAATGAAACTAAACATAAAAGTGGAAGTGTTTTCAGATATATTTAAAAACTAAAAAATAGCATGTTCATAGCATGTTCAGTAGTAATTTTCCCGTGTAATAGCAATATATCATCAGGTATTCAAAATTTTAAATACACAAATCAGGGTTCCTGGTCTGAATACTCAGGTGGCAACATAGGAAAGCGAATGGGAAATGACCTGTTCAAAGAGCCATTTCAGCCTGCAAAGCAGCAAGCTCATCTTCTTCTGTCTTCTGAGCAGCAGGACGCACTTGTTGCCTACCAGCAGGTAGATTAATTGGCGCAACAGGAGCGGTTGTAGCTGGCTGAAGGAGCTGCTCCTCCAACTCAGCTCCTTCCAGTTCTTCAAGTTCTGCCTCCAACTCATCCTGCAAAAAGATACAGGTAAATTATTGTTCTGAACGAGTGAAATACATTTTACACGAAGTAAGGAATAAGCTGAAGATACTTCATCAAAATCAGCAGCTGAACCAATTGGTGTTGACAATGCTTCCTGAATCATTTTCATATTCTCTGTTTGCTCGTTGATCTCATCCATGGTTTTGTCGACATCATCAATATTCCTGAAAAAAACAGAATATATTAGTGCATATCAGGGACAACCCCGACTTAACAAGAATAACCATGAACATAACAACAAACTGAACTAATTACTAGAAAGTATTGGAGTTTATCTTGATGAATCAGAAACACTAGGTGACACACACAGACAACATGACATGTAAGTGTGGGTGATGAGAGAAACTACACCCCTGCGCGTGTCGACATAGCATATGGCAAGACGGCAACTCGTAACTAAAAGATATAAAGTAATGGAATTTAAGATTAGACATCTATTAAGATCACACTTCAAAGAGTAAATCTCTGCTGTGACTCTATAACAGACTACATCTTTTAAATCATGTAAGAACATAACAAGACAAATTCGATGCTTTAACATGCATCAAGCAAAAATTTCTTATTTGAGGATCTCTCATTCCTCACTTTAATCAGTTCATATTTCTCTACAGCTTTTCTCTGCAAAAGCTGTTTGCATCTACAGAAGAAAAGAGCAGTAAATAGCACTTAACATGTAGCATATACAACTTACGTTGCCTTCTGCATAGCTTTCATAGCAGCTGCTCCAGTTCTTAAAGCATCAACAGTCTCCGTTGTTGCTTTTGCACCTTCTAACATTATCATCTGAAACCAAGACACAAACAAGTGAATTCAGACCATGTCTCTTTGTGCTGGTATGATAAGTTTTGCTGCAAAGATTCCAAGATGTATGAACACATGAAGAGCACCTGATCATGAATACGCAATTGAAAGTTTCCAAGCTGCTCAATTTGCTGCTCATAAAGCCTTTTCCTTTTCAAACATTGTATTGCAGCTAAAAGAGAAAGAAATTTGTTACTGCTGTAAACAAACTAAATATGCGAGGGAATAATGTTAAAATATACGAGAACGTAATTCACATCATCATCCTATAATATAGTATGTCCTCGCAATGCTAAGGCAGTGAAAACTGAAATCCATGTACATGAGCGGGAAACATAGCTGCTTGTCATATCCAATTTCCCTCTATCATCTGTTGAAATTCTAACACAACAGAGTAGCCTGAGCTGGTATGAGCAAGTAAACCATGTTTGTTCCTTTTCTTTAAGGTGGAAACATATCCGATAGATCAGGAAAATGAAGAACGGTATCCAGACTTTAAACAGATCATCCAGGATCAAATGCAGTTTCATAGAAAGCGTCTCTAAGCTTCCATCATGCTCTAATCAGCTCTTTCAAAGGAAATGCATTATTATCTTTAACTATTTACCTGTTCTAATATATCTCCAAAAACAAGTCAAACTTTTACTGCCATGCATGTCTTGCATAGTTGTTTCAAATAATTTGGGTCCGAAAAGAGCAAAATAGTTTTCAAAGGATTCATACAGCTGACCTTGATGTTGTATGGAACTGAGGTCTCGTTGGTTGATCGATCATGTATTGCATATTGTCTATAGCATGAGAAATTGCAAAGATAACCATTGTAACCTACTAGGTAAGCCAAAGGACTAAAATCTCTCCCTATTGCACAATAACTCTCCTAAACTTTAAATGCGAAATTTTCTTCTGAACCATGCTCTCTTTGGATAAAAGCAGATAAAATAGTTAAGAGATCAAAAACTCATACCAGCACTAGTAACTTTATTTTCCAGTTTGTTCCTTACTTCAAATTGTCTAGTTGAAACATTAAGTAGAACCTTAAGTGGAATTCTAAAATGACAAGGACCTCAAGGAATAACCTGATGTATCACCGCGAACCCGCCAGGCAGAAAATCAGAAGGATAAGCTCAGGAAGACAAACAATATGTGTATTATGTTCTTTTTAAATTTATAACGTATTCATGACATAAAAAAAAGCCAGTACCATGATATTTCTACATAATAGAAGATAATTTTTCACCTGTTAACCTAGCAAGTTCACCATATATAAAACTACTTTGTCTCTGACACAAAACATAATCAAACCATCAGGTTTATATGATATTACTCGATTCTAGAGATCATGCAAATACATGGCAATAATGGACATTAAACAGCCAGCAGTTGATCATACATGCAAAAGAGAATATTTCATAGTATGTCGCAACCTTAAGTGCATGACATTAACATAGACTGTAGTAAAGTAAAAATATATTAAAAAAGTATCCATAACTAGTGATAGGAAGAAGAAATCTCATCTTGTCAATGATTTTCAATAGACCATACCCCTTTTGTTTTTTGCTCTAGTAAATTCCTTTGCTTTTTCAACCTCACCAGCAGCCTTCTTAAGTAAAACTTTCTCCTTTTTCTCAAGCATCTCAAGAGTCTGTACATCATAACCAAGATAAAATTTAAGCTCCTTACATTTACTTGATAATTTTAAACAAGCAAATAATTTTGACTGAGACTAACAAGAAAGAAGTTATGACACAGCGAGTCTACAAACGATTGCACAAACCAGGGAAAGAAGATAACATTCAATTTCTTCACCAAAATAGGAGGAAACAATGATAATACAAACCCCTTTGGTTCTAGCTTCACATTTGTCTTCCTAGATCAAATAAGTTGGTCCAAAAGTAAGCCATGCCTGAGTTAAGAATGAAATTACATGATAACTATCACCAACATGTTTGGCGAAGAGCCCACACCCCTAATGAACTTGCCCGAATTAAGACTAGGCCAAACAACTGCAACTCAAGCTATAATTCTTTTGTTCATCATTCCTTGTATATGATAAACCTCCATTATTTCAGAGGAAAAAGCACTGGATGCTCGTGTTGTAGAAGCAGAAGAAAAAAATCAGATTGTACAAAATTTGAATTTTGCACCTCCCAATTCAATTCAAAAAAAATTTTGCACCTCCCAATCGGGGAACTCTTAAAATCCAAGAAAGAACAATATATTTGCACCTCTAGACAAATGAAAAGTATCAAACTTTGCAGCACAGCTGTTCTGGAGAGGGTAAGCAGTATGCGGTCACTCATTCTCTCAAATACAATCGGTATGCAAAAGAAGCCACCTGTAAAATCTATCATATCCACCTATGGCAGCTAAAATCTAGCAGGCTCGAAATATTGTATATAGCCTATGTCCACTATACTTCCACCAGCAAAATGGAGGAGCTTCCCACCGTTTCTCATAAGTTTGAATCTGAGAATAAAAATAGAACTGTTAGCCCATGTAGCCTTACAAAGATCCGAAGCTAACTTGCTCTATCCCAGGCTCTTAGAGTAGGAAGTCGGGTGCTCTTACGACAAAGAACATCATTAACACTCTTGAGTCAGTGAATTACATTAGATGGAACCAAATATCAATCTGCATTATGACTCAACATTAGATGGAACCAAATATCAATCTGCATTATGACTCATTATTCTTTCTTTTCTTCCTTTTGATAGATCAGGCTGCAATAATATATACAATTTCCACAAGGGCACAAACTTTTAGTTCATACAGCAAACATAAACTAAACTGAGAAAAAAAGATGATTACAACAACACAACATATAGAAGTACAGCAAGTTCCTTTCTTGCAACAAATTCCACAAAAAAATTCTCAGCTCTCACATAACCAACAAGAGCTATTCATTTTCAACTTTANACCCCCACTCCCTTTCCATAACCAGCAAATAACAAGATTTTTCATCATCATCAAACTTAAAAGTGAAAATTGAAAGAACCACAAATAATAAAAATAAAACAAAATCTAAAGAAGAAAACCAACAAAACCAAGATCATACCTCGTTTAACTTGTCTAGCGTAGCTAGAGCATTTGTTTCTTGTTTAGGTTTTCCAAAGAGTCGGGGAAACATTGTTAAATTTTGTTAAAGCTTCAGAAAATCAAAATTATTTAACTCCTGAAAGAAAAATCGATGGGTTCATTAGATCAACTGAAAAACCCGATCTACACAATGAATATATGAAACTTGAAAAAATTTCCTGAAGTTTTGCAAATAATTGTATATACATACAGGTTTGCTTTATTACGCGTTTGAGAGTAGAGTTTGATGGACTGACCTGAGAAAATTCCAGAGGTTTTGTGAGAATTGGAGATTAATCAAATTTTGACTTTGAAGTTTGTAAATGATCTGAAATTTTCTCAAAAGGAAATTGAAGATTTTGATGGAAAAGGAGACGTCACAGTTACGAGTCACATCCTGTCTTTTAAGCTGCAATGACAGACCAATAGAATTTTTGTTCTCCTTTTTAGTACTATCAAACACTTAAATATACTAGTTTCTATGTATGTGTTTCCACGTATATCTTTGGTCAACGTAATACCTAAATCTGAAATGATTAAATAATGTTTGAACTTGCAAAAATAATCAAATTAATTAAGTTAGTTAGATACTTGTAGTTACTGTGTCATGTTTAATACTATATTCTCAATATTGATATACCTCTTGAAAATGCAATAAAAAGTTATCCGGATAGAAAACATGTCGCCGTAATTTTAGTACAACATTGAGAATCGTATGAGCATTTGTTGTTGAAAAAATAAATGTATTTATTTTCAAATAAATATAAAAGGATATCCACTTTGTGGAGGAGAAGGTTGAATTCTTGGAATCACATGTTTGGAGCCATATTGGTTCAATATGCACATATCACATATGTTGTTAAAATCTTTGCATATTATCTTTGTACGATTACTTAAATTGACTTTTTCCTCATCTAACACGATATAAAGAACACAACAATCATGGCCTTTGTATAAATTGTATAGATACTTTACTATATATATGTATACTCCTAGAACAAGTTTCTACATTAAAGTTACAATTGTATCTAGTTAGTAAAGAAAGATTATATGGCTCTAACTCATTTGGTTATTCATTATCATGCTAAGGAAAATTGTAATTTTCCTATCATTTCTTCTCCTATAAATAGTGTCCATCATTTTGCTACATTGATTTGTTATTACATACTAGAGGATGGTAACTTTTACATTGTTCATCCTTCATGTATGGACTTATTTCACAAACTAATCTCACTTCGATTTTGAGGTAACATAGCAGTTACAAAGTAACCCCCTAATGCTAAACTCCGTGAGTTAATTAATTAGTTTATGAAATTTGAATGACCTATCACTTTTTAATTTACACTTACTTCAAACCTTATTACAAATAATCTTCCATATTATGCATCACCATTCACAATATTTTATCATCTTTCTAATTAAATGAATCCCTTCCTTATCTTTAGCTAGATCTGTCACTAAATGCACATATATAGTTGCGAACTATAGACTGAGAAGAACATATTTTTTTTTTTAAAAAAAAAAGAGAGTATAAACTTATTAAAACCATATATGTTTTGTAGATTTGGCTTCCATGAATCCAAAAATCTCTAACAACAATCTAAAGTAAAGAGGAAAGCATATAGAATTGATAGTAACTTACATATCCATATAGCAATTTGCTTTGTTGATTCTTGCACCTAATGATTTTGATGAGTTCGTCCAAACAGCTTGGCGTAGCATAAATATCATAAAATAGGACTGTTGTGAATTCGATGGTTTTATGGCATCGAAGGGATTAGTCTTTAGATATTATCCATTCATTTACTTTATTGCGAAAATAGTCTTCTTGAGTTATATGTGCCGAAATTGTTTTTCTTCACCAAAACACACCTAGAACATCATAATTTTTTTTAAAAGTTAGTGATTGATTATTGTTAAATTTATTTGAGTGTTTATAATATGTGTTTAAGTTTTTAGTTTAAACATTGATTTAGTGATTTGCTTTTAAAATTTCAAAACTTCATTATTGATCCCATAAGAAATTCTTGTATAAGTAAAGTAAGTTACTAATTTTGTTTCAAAGTCCTAATATTAGTATATGAGATAGTAATCAGTACACCTTAGAGCTTGATTTATAGTCGAAGTTTCAACAAATTAAATTGTGAATCACTATTTTTATCCGATATGAATTACTTGTTTGAAAGAATCATTTAATTTTTTTAAAGAGTCCAAAATTTAATGAATTATGTCTTTCCAAATCTTTCGACTAAAGAAAGCTATGATTTTCGAGGTATCATCTCCTAGCTATCTCCTGAAATATTTTTTTTGTATAATATAATTAATATACAAGAGAATCCTTCCGAATAATATCCTAACATTTAAAGCAAACTTTTTGCAGGAAAGATATCGAGCTAATACGACTCGCAAACTTTTAACGTTAGAATATTTTTTTAAAGATTTATTAGAACTCGATATTTTGTATCTAACAAATGAATACAAGAATTATGTGATTTATACATATATTTATTATTTAATACAATTAAGTAATATGTGCTCTCACTTCAATATACAGCATCCATATATGATATACCTCACTTTTATATAACTACTTCCATGCTTTATCGATTTGCACCTTTTCATGAATTCTTCCGGTATATATGAACATATAGCTTCGATTATAGAACCTTTTTGCGGTCTTTTAACAACAATTACCTTACCATATATGTATGAATTACAAACATACTCGAAAATAATATTTTAGGTCAAAGCTATGCACATTATCTCGCCATCACTCTATTCGGAGAGTTTCTAAATTATAGATTAATCAAAACTTTTGCTTTAGGAAATTCAGTTAACTGGAGAAACTAATGAAACTAATGCAAAAAGTTGTAATTAGTATCAAAAAATACGTAGACAATTTAATTGGCGCTGTAACTAATGTTTAATGCAACCAACTCCAAAACAAATAATAATATGTAGCCGCTCTTTATTTTGAAACCAAAATACAAAGGTAGAATCAATTTAGAACTCTAATTTTCTTCTGTTTACCGAAATAGTCTATATATTTCATAATTATTGTGATTATAAATACTAACATAAAATATTTTTGTCTCCTTTTGTGAACTAATAGAAAATCTAACATGTTCCTAAAGGTATTAGGTTTACATTCTAACATCTAGTATTATATATCTAATGCCCGAAAATAATTATACTAATAGGATTCCTAAAGGTAATTGTGTAGGATTCCTAATGTTTAGTATTATGTCCTAAAACTAATAGGATTACAAGTTTAATATCTAGAATTTCAATTATGTCCTTTTACTGTGAGTTAATATGCTTAATATTAAAAGGTTATTTTTGTAATCCAACAGTTTATTCATGCTTTTATAATAATATAGATCATGAAAAATCTAGACAAATAATTATGTAAATTTGAAGCTAAACAATCAAAAAAAAGAAAAATTCTAAAAAAAATAAATTCTTATATATTGAAAATTATAATTATTCATAAGAAATACAAATAGCTTTCATGTTCAAATGCTATCACATGTAATTGATATATAGTATTAAGTAATTTACAGTCATTTTCTATTTACGAATTTGATAAATATATGTTTTTAAAAATATTTATTTTACTTTTTAAACAACTATGTGAATAAATATCTATTTGCTTTCTTAAATTTCATAAAACTAGTTCCTATATATGTAATTTTAATTTGTCTTTTGTCTTTATAGGTTAATATACTTGCTTAGAGATATAGCTCTCGTGTTATATTGTTGGAATGGCAAAGATTAAGTAATAGATGACTACTGTTAATAACGAATTCACTTTTTCCTTTCATGAGCAATCTTGCCCAAGCCAATTCCTCGTGCCAATTCATGACACTTCTTTATATTCCTTGCCATTGCAAAATCTTCAATTCTCCATATAGATTTCAAATATTTTCAATAGACCTGTAGAATTTTAAAAATCAAAGCTAATCCTAAATTCAAGATATTAAGCTAGTGTTTGGTCATAGATCCTAAATTTATTTTGAAAAATCTAATTTGGGTGAAGTTTGGTTTGAAGATGAAAATGTGTTTGGACATATGTTTTCAAAACATATTTCCCAACTTTATTATGGAAAAATATGTATATAATTCCCAAGTTTTGAGATCTTAGCCAAAATCAGCAATTGGGGTGATTTTGGGATTTGGGATTTGGGATTTTGCGTGGATAAAATTTATGATTATACATGAGTTTTGAAAATATCAGGGATAAATTCCAAATTTATTTTGGCAAAACTCATGGCCAAACGGGTCCTAAAAGACTCTTAAAATTCTAGGAGTCTATCAGGGTTTTTTGGAGATTACTCTACCCTAAACCCTAACGTACACCTATATAAAGGGAAGCATATTCCCTTGAAGAGGCGTCTCAAAAATCCCATAAATTCTCGAGATATTCACAAAGGGCGCAAGGCATAAAATAATGTCGTGATCAATAGATGTTCTCCTTGATAATCAAATACTTCAAGAAAAATATCCATACAATGATAAACTTTCATGGAGATTAATAATCTAGAGAGGTCTGTATCATCCTACGTTCGTGAATACGCTGATCCATCTCTCGAATTACGGAGAACAAATCGGAGGAAGAATCAAGGGATAAACAGAGTTGTAACCCGCAATGTTTATCAATAAAATCACTTTATTCTTTTGTGATTGCACTTTTATTTTTCTCTGCATAAATTTGTTGCAAACAAGACCATCGACAACTGAAAAATAAATGATTCACACCCTCATTCTTCGTGTACATAAGGGTGGCAAAACTAACCCAAATCTATTTGACCCGCCTAATTCGCCTAAATTTTAATGGATTTGGGCTAGAACGATTTTGAAAATTGACTATTTTAGGCTAGCCCAAGTTAACCCATCAAAAATTACCAACTCAAATGGACACATGATGATGCTCAATCTCAAAGTTCTACTTGACCCATGTTGTGGAAAATATTTTCTAATTTTTCTATGTTTAGTTGGTTTAAATGTTTGAAAAACATTAGCTTTATGAATTTGTTTTTCTCTAATTGGAGGAAAATGTTTTCCGTATTAAGAGAAGGGAAAATATTTTTCAAAACANAACCCTTACCCCACCCCCATCCCCACCCAACCCTACCCCTACCCTAAGTATATAAAAATATTATTTAGAGTACTTTCTTTTCATGATGTTGAAAAGGTATTTTCTTTCATTTTCAACAAAATGAGTATTTCCTTTTCATGACATAGAAATAGTATTTTCTTTCAAATTTATTTCAACAAAATAAGTACTTTCTGTTCATGATATCGAATGATTTATTTAACTAACTGTTGTTGACAAAAATAATCATCAAACATGAAAAACAAAATCTGAAAATGAAGAAAAGACACAATA